TTGCTATCTCTGCTAGTTCTGTCATTTTCATCAACCATTCCTCCATTGTTGGTATTTCAGAGTTTTCTCATTCTTAGACATATAATAATCTCTCAGCAGTAATCATATAAAAATCATCATCCAAGGTTATCCATTAATCCAAGCAAAAAAAGTTCCGGTTTCAACTGAACGTTGATCTTTAAAGTCATTCTGCCCTCCATACAGCTGCCATATTGCAGTTTTGAAACAATCAACAAACTGTGGGGAAATCCACAGCTTTCTCATCCCAGCCTGAAGACGTCTTAATTTACCATTTCCCAACCCTGCATGCCTCCATCTGTATTTTGGTGGCCTCTCACAGCTGAGCAACTCTGGAGCCGCTTAAGGAAGTCGACTCTAGAAAACTGTTTTACCTTAGATGTACTTGGCAAGTATTGCACTAAGGTCACAGTCTGCAGAATCTTGTGGCACCTTAAAGACTAACAAATGTGAAGATTTTGGGACCATTTTTATTTATGGATTAAACAAATCTCAGAATTCTGTTACCAAAACATATGTTAACTAAGTTCATTAGTGCAAGAACAATTGCTTTATTATTTCTTTTATCTCTTCCTCCCGCAGCCCGTCTTTCAATAACAGCTGTATTAAATATTCCTTTCTCAAAACTAAATCCATCTCATGGATTTAATTACATAGACTGTAATCTAGGATGCCTATATTAATATTAATATATTTAATGTTAGGTTTCATAAAGGATATCCAGTCAGATTTGATTCCACGTGATTACATACTGAACAATAAACTAACCAGAGTGGGAAGAGAACCTGTGGCTCAGTGACTAAATCACTGCCTAGTATGTATAACTTTCCAGGTTCGAATCCCATAAAGGGTATGGCTAACTGATGAAGGCAAAAAAGCCAGAAATGGTCCATCAGAAACGAACTTGATGTTGTACTGTTTAACTGCTGCCCGTTTGTTGATAGCTCAAAATTGGAAGAGTAAAGTTTTACCTACAATGGTGGACTGGAGATTGAAGGTTTCGCATCTTGCTGAAATGGCAAAAATTTCGGCTTATTTGAAGAATCACTCAAATGAACAATTTTTATCAATATGGAGAAGATGGATTGTTTATATTCAAAACAAGCATAGAATGGTGGNTAGGAAGTAGATAGCAAACCATTTCTGAAACCTTTCCAAGAAAACTGCAGGGACCTGTCCAGGCAGTCACCAGGAATCAACAAAGATGCAAAGGTACAAATAATAGAGTGTTTTTTTTCACTGTTGGGAACATTTTTGTTGATGACTTGAGTAAAGCTTGCCTCCGAGTAATGTATGGTGTTTTGTTGTGCTGGAGTTCTCTGAATAGCATTTAATGAAGTTCTCTGAAAATAGCATTTAAATAGCATTTAATGGAGTTCTCTGAATAGCATTTAATGAAAAGCAGAGAATGTTTTCTCAAAGGTATATGGCTGGCCAATATTAAATTCAAAATCCTGGATTAGATGCCATTTTCAGTTAAATTTCATGGATCTCATAAACTTGTATAAACTCTTGACTAAGGAGTTTTATTTTGCTCCCAGGATTTAGAGCCAATAATCCTGATGATAACAGACATGAAACTTTTGTTCCTCTCCTTTTTATTTCCTGTTTACAAGGTTGAGGAATTCAGTGATATTTTTAATAGTAGCAAGAGGAAAAAACTCTAAACATGTATGTATCATAGTATTATGCCCCAGAGCACAGTAATCATTAATTATGAAGTAAGGAAATCATATATGTATAAAATGTGCTCTGCAAATACTCTCCAAGTGAGTTTTCACACCTCTTAAACAAACAAAAAAGGAATCCTTATGTAACTGGGTAGGTCCAGCATTTCTTAAAAGGATACTTACCTCTCTTATGATCGGCTTTTCTGCAACCTGGAAAGATTCTGGAAAAGATCATCAAGCAACGAATCAGCGAACACCTAGAGGCAAACAAAGTCATAACCATAAACCAACATGGGTTTGTCAAAAATAGATCATGCCAGACAAATCATATTGCATTCTTTGTCTGTACCATTTGTCTGAAATGGTATAGGGTTTCCTGCCTGTGCAGGGGGTTGGACTAGAAGACTTCAAAGGTCCTTCCAACTCTATTATTGTTATTGTTATTAACCTTCTAGCAGATAGGATGAATTTTTATTTCAAGCTTTTATTATTAAATCATCAAACTCTTAAAGCCCAAGGAGTCTTCTTTGGAATAATAAATCAGTCTCATCAAGGATCAACTAAGCCTTGGGCTAGATAAGCAATAAGACATAAGCCCAAGGAGTTATAAATCACTATGACTAGATTAGTTCATCATTAAAACAAAAGTAAATACATCACATTGCATTTTAGTATAATCGGTGGCATTAAAGCTACCGTATTTGCCTACAAAATTCCAGCAAGGAAACACATAATGCCCTAACCTTTTGTTGTCATCTAGTAGTTCCTCAGATTTTGGCAACTTGTACAGGAAGTCCTTGACTTACAACAGTTCATTTAGTGACCGTTCAAAGTTTCAATGGCACTGAAAAAAGTGACTTTGACCATTTTTCACACTTAGAACCACTGCAGCATCCCCATGGTCATGTGATCAAAATTCTGATGTTTGGCAACAGACTCAGATTTATGACGGTTGCATAAACTGGGGTCATGTGGTCATCTTTTGCGACCTTCTGACAAGCAAAGTCAATGGGGAAGCCAGGTTCACTTAACAGCCATTTCACTAACTTAACTGAATTGATTCACTTAACAACTGTGGCAAGAAATGTAAAATGGGGCAAAATTTACTTAAGTGTTTTAAGTAACCAAAATTTTGGGCTCAATTGTGATCGCAAGTCGAGAACTACCTGTAAGGTGGTAGTTTTAGGGAAGCACTTTCACTGGAATGGCTATTAATCCCAGGTGGCCCAAATCTTTTCATTTGGACCTTTTTAAATGTAATTTTCATTAAAAAAAATTCTAGTAAAGTAAAAATCATAAAAATCAAGAAAAATAGTAAATAGTGAAAAAAAGAAAATAGCAAAAAAGGGAAAAAGATAAAGGATAAGGAAATCCTTTCAACAGCAGTTATAAATGTGCTTATATTTTACCCTCTCTAATGTCCTTTTCATAAATTATTCTTTCTAATCTTCCAATCCATACATCATAAGTTCATTTTTGTACCCTTTTCAGAAAAAAATCCATAAGTGGTTTCCAGTAACTGCTAAATGTAGTTGTTGATCTTTCTCTAATCACACAAATTAATTTTGCTATCTCTGCTAGTTCTGTCATTTCCATCAACCATTCCTCCATTGTTGGTATTTCAGAGTTTTCTCATTCTTAGACATATAATAATCTCTCAGCAGTAATCGTATAAAAATCATCATCCAAGGTTATCCATTAATCCCAGCAAAAAAAATTCAGGTTTCAACTGAACGTTGATCTTTAAAGTCATTCTGCCCTCCATACAGCTGCCATATTGCAGTTCTGAAACAATCAACAAACTGTGGGGAAATCCACAGCTTTCTCATCCCAGCCTGAAGACATCTTAATTTACCATTTCCCAACCCTGCATGCCTCCATCTGTATTTTGATGTCCTCCCACAGCTAAACAACTCTGGAGCCGCTTAAGGAAGTCGACTCTAGAAAACTGTTTTACCTTAGATGTACTTGGCAAGTATTGCACTAAGGTCACAGTCTGCAGAATCTTGTGGCACCTTAAAGACTAACAAATGTGAAGATTTTGGGACCATTTTTATTTATGGATTAAACACATCTCAGAATTCTGTTACCAAAACATATGTTAACTAAGTTCATTAGTGCAAGAACAATTGCTTTATTATTTCTTTTATCTCTTCCTCCCGCAGCCCGTCTTTCAATAACAGCTGTATTAAATACTTCTTTCTCAAAACTAAATCCATCTCATGGATTTAATTACATAGACTGTAATCTAGGATGCCTATATTAATATTAATATATTTAATATTAGGTTTCATAAAGGATATCCAGTCAGATTTGATTCCACGTGATTACATACTGAACAATAAACTAACCAGAGTGTATACACCCAGTATTACAAACTAGAAAAAAACCAGGCTTAACTTCAAAAAAGCTTATTGTGAGAATGCAGCTAAGCCTTTTCCTGATTAATTAAGCATCTTATTAATTATGAAGATGAACAAACATATGAAGAACGGTTGCTAGATTTGGGTTTGGCTAGTCTAGAGAAAAGAAGGACTAGGGGGGACGTGATAGCAGTATTCCAGTATTTGAGAGGTTGTCACAAGGAGGAGGGGGTCAATTTAGTTTCCAAAGCACCAGCGGGCAGGGCAAGAAACAATGGATGGAAACCAATCAAGGAGAGAAGCTACCTGGAATTAAGGAGAAACTTCCTAACAGTGAGACCAATTAACCAGCGGAACAACTTGCCTTCAAGTTGTGGGTGCTTCATCACTGGAGGTTTTTAAGAAGAGATTGAAGAGTCACTTGTCTTAAATAGTATAGGGTCTCCTGTTTGAGCAAGGGGTTGGTCTATATTAGAATCTAGATAGAAGACCTCGAAGATCCCTTCCAATTCTATTCTGATTCTGAGAACACAATCTGTTCTTGCCCACTGAACAGAGGCTTTCTTTCAGAAAGACATATAACAACTCAACTGAATAGAAATCCTAGTCTAGTCCGGGGTTTAAAGTTGTTAAAGTTGAGTAATATTTCTCTAACCCAACCCTTAATCTCAATCATGTGTTGGACCTTTAATATACGCGTCTTCCATTCAGCCTGGAGCCGAGAAGGCCGTACCATTCCTCACATGCGTGGGCAAGATACTGAAAGGCAGTGGAAAAACTCCCTTTCCCGGGGAACAGAGGCAAGTGGGAGCGCTGAGATGGATCTGGCGCAGGATATATAAAAAGTCAACTCTTGGAGAGGGAGGAGTTTGCCCGGGGCACGTTCTTGGTCCTTCCTCCCCCCCCCCCGTCGCTCAGTGGTAGAGTCCATTCTCCACCCCTTCTTTCTGTCTGGGCTTTCGAGAGGAGAGGTGCTGTTGCTCCTATTGTCGCCGCTGCAATTGGCCATCGTTTTCTTTCCTCTTGGGAGCGTTGGTGGGTGAGTTTGGGGCGATGGAGCTCAAGCTGGGGATCCCGAAATGTTGAGAGGAAGAACTGGGGCTGGGGGTCTTCTCCTGGGTTCCTCTGGCTTGTTTTAAACGGAGGGCAATAGAGAGGCCAGATTTCTGGTGCTTGCTTTAGAGAAGGAAGGGACCCGTCTGGGAGTAAGAAGTAGGGAAAAGTTGGGAGTCTTGGATCTCTACGATAACGAGAGATTGCAAAAAAGCAATGTGGCACCGTGTGGCATCCCGGGTTCTGGGCCTGGGGAATACTGAGGTTTCCTATTGGAAAAAGGTTCAATTCAAGGCAGTTCAGCCAGGCGCTTGGTTGTCAGCCTAGGCTGGATGGATTCTTTAAAAAGTACAATTCTGCCATTTTAATTTCCTTTTTTAAAAAAGGAAGAGAAGATGTTAGGTGGCTATAAAAACAGAGCATCCTACTTCATTGGTAAAGAGTGGATGGGATTAGTATTGGTTCCTTGGCGTGATAGGTAAAGAAAATGAAATCAAAGTCTCTAATCCATAATATTGGCATAAACATCTCTTTTGACACTTTAGTTTTTCTTCAAAAAAGTTTTGTGTTTCAGAATGAACTCCAAATGCAAGCTTGCTGAGAAGACCTTTACATGTTTCTGGTGGAATTAGGGCTGTCTTTCCAGGGGAATGTACTCTGCTGAGAAACTCTGAATTGTGAGATTGTGTCAGGAATTTTGGGGCCTTGTAAATCAGCTTCAGTTGAACTCAGGAGCTTTTAAATGCCTGTTTTGAGAAGACGCTCTTCTGTTAACTTGCAAATGGAGACTGGCAGGAAATCTTGTGTTTTGTTTAGCAAGTGAAGGAATTAGAGTCAGTGTTTCTCAACCTTGACAATTTTAAGGCATGTGGACTTCAACTCCCAGAATTCCACAGCCAGCATTGCTGGCTGTGGAATTCTGGGAGTTGAAGTCCACATGCCTTAAAATTGTCAAGGTTGAGAAACACTGAATTAGACCTAGGATACTGGAGGTCGCCTTGCATATACATTGATATGTCATAGGTTCTGGACTTCTGATGCCTTTTGAGGAAGCTTGAAATATGTGAGCCAAGGATGCCTTACAGTGGCAATTTTAACAGATTAACCTCTTAGAAATTAATATGTAGCGAGTGCTCTATTTTAATTGTCAGATACCTGAAAGGGATAAATTTTTCAGAAATTAAAGATGAAGCCTGTGGTATATTAGGCATATGCACTAAGCTAAATTCCATGGCATATTTGGAAAAATGAAGTGGTGGGTGTGCACACATAGCTCCTGTTGGCATGTTCTTAAATGTATCTTAAAAGAGTTTTTTTTTAATCTAAAAGTGTTTTCCAAGATCTCTTTTTGTCTTCAAATCTCGATCTTTGCACATCTTTAAAATGTATAGCTGGTCTGAGTGTGGCTGGACTGCTAGCTGACATTTGTAACACATATATACCTTTTTTTTCTATGTTCTGATCCTCCTTGTCCTTTTAAGAATAATATTTATGTTCAAAGAGACTTTGGGTTTCCCTTGGGTGGGAATAGTCTTCATGTGTAATTTAGAATCTCTTTCCATTTGTTTTTCCTCCCCCCAATACACCTGGTCTCCAGTTTGGCAAATCTGGTTCTCTCACTCATGCAATGTTAAGAAATTTGATATATAATAAATATGATTGTCAGCCCTAGGAAATAGATTTGATCACGAAATTGATTCCTCAGGAAGACTAGAAATAAACTTTGAGATAGGCTATAGTAACCAAATCATACTTCTGCTCTTGTTTCTGTAACAGCTACTGAATATTTTCTTCGAGTCCTTCTCCATGGTTTTCTTCAACTATAGACTCATTTTTCTGGATTCATGTCTTCCCTATAAATAATGCTCCATGCAAAGTAGTTTTAGTCTTATTCTCTTTCTCCAAAGTATGTCTTTGGGCTTCAATATATCCCAGTCTTTGATTGTGACAGGTAGAAAATTATAATGACCTTTCATGATACTTGGCAGCAGTTTTCCTTGTTATGTAATACTTAAATGTTTTTAAGTGCACCACAGAACAAAAGACAACTTCAAGTACCGTATTTTTCGCTCTATAAGACGCACTTTTTCTCCCCCAAAAGGTGGGGGAAAATGTCTGTGCGTCTTATGGAGCGAATGCTGCCTGGAGCTGAAGCCTGAGTGCAGGGGAGGAGAGCATATACTGGCACTAGGTGGCGCTCTAACACAACACCATCGAGTATTGCTAGAAAGGAAGTCGCGGAGAGGAGAAGGNCTCGAAACAGCAAATGGAAGGTGAGTGGAAGGCAGGTTGGGGGAGAAGCCTGGAGGAAACGAAGGGACAAGGCTGGAACGTGTCAGCTGCTGCAGCATATTCTTTCTCTTTCCAAATGTTATTATCCTTATGCTGCATGATTTAAAACTGCTACCTGTAATTTTCTGCTGGGAGATGGGAGAGACTAAAATGTCAAGGCATGGAGACTAAAACATACGAAAAACAGTTGCAGGAAATGGGAAGAGAAAAGGATTAGGGTTGACATGATAGTAATATTCCAGTATTTGAGGGGCTGCCACAAAGAGGAGGGGATCAATTTATTTTCCAAAGCCCCAGAAGGCAAGACAAGAAACAATGGGTGGAAACTAATCAAGGAGATATGTGTGTCTTATGGTCAGGTGCGTCTTATAGAGCGAAAAATACGGTATATACTTAGGGCAGTGATGGTGAACCTTTTAGAGATTGCCCAAAAAACGGCCCCGGCCCTGCCCTGCTGCCCGCCACTGCTTCGCCTCCACTCCTTTTTACTTCTTACTAGGCAACTTAAGTCGGAGATACTTTGTGGATAAATAAACCTTTTCCCCAACATGGAAAGATCTCTGGGGAGATCACTTTTTATCAGCTTGTTTTTTTATATGTTTCTGAGGCTTTTTTCCAGTGCTGTTTTTGTTTTGTCCCAAACCTCCCCCCATTTTGACATCCATTGGTCAAGAGTCTGGGAGGTAGAGGGTCCTTGAGGATACTCAGGTATTGGGTTGAATTCTTTTCCTGTAGCAATCTTAAAAGGAGTGAAACCAGTGCTGCTATGAACGGTATTGTTGTAAGCCACCTCAGCAAAAGGGAGGAGGTCAGTTCAGTTCATTTGTTGGTAGTCCACATAACACCTAAGGTACTGCTCCACCATTGAGTTCGCTTTTTCAGCAGCCCCATTTGTAGACAGATGAAAAGCTGACGACAATCCTTGTGACGAGCCAATTATTTTCAGGAAACCCCTCCAAAACCTGATTGTGAATTGCACCCCCCCCTGTCAGAGATTATCCATTTTGGTCTGCCATGCAGCCTGTAAATGTGCTTAAGGAACATTTTGGCTAGTTTCTGGACTAACGGGAGTCCCCTGCAGGCAACGAAATGAGCCTGCTTTGAAAACAGATCAATCACAGTCCATATTACCGTATTTCCTCTGCTTTCGGGTAACTCAACTATAAAATCCATAGCGATCTCTTCCCATGGCTGGGAAGGGTCTGCGACTGGCTGTAATAGTCCAGGGGGCTTCCCCGGAATTCTTTTCATGGTGGCACACAACGCACAGCTTTTGACATAGTTTTCCACCTCCTTCAAACACGGCCACCAAAACTGCCGGCGAATTAAATGGCCAACAGAGGTTTAATCATGACAATAAAACGTCCCACATTGCTAAAATGAATAAATATTCATTTCTCTTTCTCTTTGAGATTTCTGTGTAGAATACTTATGATTTCCTTTAGTTCAGATACATAAATTCTTGACCTTACATTAAAAAATATCCCTGTTTTTTGCCCAAGAGTGGTCCCTCTTAGGACTTTTCCTAAAGAGCGGATCCCACATATTTGAACTGTGATCACTCTTGAATCAAATAGACTTCTGTTTTTTATGGGCTGTGAGCGGTACTGTAACTTTTCTAGGCCAAATAGTACCTCCTCTCTGTTTGCAACTAAAATTGGCTTCTGTCCCAGAATTTGATGAATTTGTCCCTAGAATGAGGAGTTGAAAGAATCTCTGACATCTGGTTGACTAGGTGTCTTTTAAAAAAAAAGAAAAAATATTGTTTGCCTTCTAAAATCGAACAGCACATTATGTTCTCTGTCTCTTTCTCCCCTCTCTACCTCCTCTTTTTGGGACAAAAGTTCATCATGTGACCTGATGAAGTGAAATCCTGCCACAAGTGCAAGGTGGCAGGATTTCATTAGATTCCTTTTAGGAAGAGCTTGAAGAGATCCAGACATGATAATGACTTGGGAGGGAGAGAGAATCCTGTTATGCTAATTCAGACCTTTTCTAGTAGGCCAAGAAGAAACCCTAAAGGAGGAAGGGGAACTCCTGCTTGTGGCACGGATTCAAATTAAAGCATTCCAGATTGATCACTGTCTAGCATCTGCTTGAAATTTTAAGACTTGGCTGAGGAATTCTGGGATTTGAAGTTCACCTATTTTAAAAGGATTTTTTAAAAAAAAAATTAGTTAATTTATTAAGAATTATAATGGCAACAATAACAAAGGAATAAAAAGAATAAAAAGTGCAGGAAAAAACAAGAAAACAATAGAAATAGGAAAAAAAATAAGAATATAGTAAAGAATATAAAGAAATATATAAAGTGACCTATCACCCTCACCCAAATATAAGCAATTTCAGTAACCATCCCTTCTTTTAAAATACAACAAATGATCTCTTCTTCACATATTCTATCTCTTACCTATAAACAATTCCATAAAGCCTTGTCATTTCAGTACTGATGTCAGCAAAAGTCCATTAAGGGTTTCCAAAGATAACAAACAGTATCTATTTTAACTTTGATCAAATAAGCCAACATTATATTCCTTCTGCATCTTAAAAGTCCCTAAGGTTGAGAAACATTGCTCCAAAGAATTGGTTCCATTGTCAGATTACCCTTACTGTTAGAATATTTTTTTAGACATTCAAAATTCTCTTGTAACTTAAATCCACTTATCTATATCTTGTACTCTTGAAGGAAAGTCA